GCCAAACTGCCAGTCGGAAGAACAGAAAAGTGAAACTAGGAGTTGGTTGGTAAACTCCCGATTTTCTAGAATCTGCCCCAATTAACCCCCAGCTAAACGAATGAATGTCGTCATTTCTAAATTTATTCCATCTAATATTCAAGTGACTCAATGGGGCTGTAGCTCCATAAGAGGCTAAAAAAGGTCCGTTTCTCAGTCAACAAAAGTTCGAATAAGCCATTCAACTGGCACTTTCACTAAAATTATACAGGGCGTTTGAAGCAAACCCATACCCGGACTTGACTGGTAAAATAGCAAAATCAAACAATAGCACGCGGCTGGTTGGTTTCCTCATTCTATTGGGGCAAAATGTTGGCAAAAAACCGGGCGGGCGGCAAGTTGTGCGAATATTTTCGTAGCCAAAGCCACACCTCCAAACGCCCATTCTCACATTTTTTGCAACCACAACAGTATTATGGGCAATTAACCGCGGAAAAAAACGTGTTTATATGATCCTCGAGTGGCCAATCTATATCCTGAACTCGTGTTTTTTCGCGTCTAAGCCCCGTTTATCGGTGATTGCTTGAATTCAATGCGAAACCAATCCATCAACGATATCTCGAGCAAGGATCTGAAACAGTGACCATTTAAATCGGTTTTTGCGGCCTACTAAGGCCTAATCGGATTCGGGCATCCCTTAAAAAACGTGTTTAAATACACAGAAGTGGATTATGGAGAAATTATACAATCAAATGGGCAAATGTGGGGCAGTGGCGGTTTTTTTTCAAGGTACCGCCACTCGAAATTTGAAACCGAACACATAAAACAATTGTACGGCCAGTTCGCCATGGAACTGATCCAATTTAAACGAATTATGCGAAAAACGAGCACAAATGCGATTTTTTGCATGTTTTATGTCCACTTCGAATTCATGGCTTATTGGCGTTTTACATTACAATGGCCTACGACCTCTTTTCTAGGCGGAGAACGTGTAAATATACAGGGCGTCCCAATTTCGAAACTTTTATAGGGTTTCTAGGTGGCATGTGCCTTTTTAGGTCGAACTTGAAATGGTAAAACCAGTTTGAAAAATTTTGCCCGCTTAAGAAATACAGTGGACATTAACAAACTGTCAAATTCAAAATTACCATAAATGTATTTAACCCAACAGCAAATTCTATAACTGCAGCGGTTTGCAACTTATAAATTTTTTATTTTATTTGAAAGAAAAATCTTCAAAATCAACTTTCAAGTACCTACTGATGTCAAAAACGATGACGCTACTTCCGCTTACCAGCAAATTGAAACCATGTGAACACATCTACTAGGCGTTCGCTTTACCTTGAGGGAATTATAATTACGGAATTGTCCCGATAAAGACATTCAAACGATTAATTCAACACAACAATAGACATGTTGACGCCTCTTAAACAATCGCGTTGCTACATGCTACTTGCCTATGGATTATGCACTATTGACTAATCGACGATTATCTCACCAAATTCAATGACATACATAGAATCCAAAGCCGAATGTCGTTGTCAAGAGTGTCAAGTGTCAACGTCAAAGTTTGAACCGACCAGCGGTTATCCGACCCCTGTCCATTCACTGACTCGCAAATTTTCTGTCGTAATAAATCATGTCACAGTTTATATCAAATGTCATCTCTTATTCATTAAGCATGTATGTCCTGTTAATGAATGGGTGAACAGTTCGAGTTTCGCCTTCACCGCTCAAGGTCCTGCCTGGACTAGTCATAGCTCTAATATAAACTGCTATTGGGGAAAAACCACCATAGAAAGGGTGAAAGGCATTTATTTCTGCGTGAAAGTCTAGAATCAAAAGTGGTGCCCGAGTAGTAGTACCCTTTTGAATGCATACTTCTCTCTCGATGGGATATTTTGAAAAACAAATACCTGCGGTTCTTATCAGCAACTTTATCACCAGCAATTATACGCATATAAAGACGTTTTCGAGATCAAATAGTACAGTTATCAGCAGAAAACTGTGCGTTGTGAGTTATCAGCTAATACAGACAAGTGTTAGGTAAGCAGACGAGGCAAATGGTGAAGTTTTCGGAGAAACAAACTTCCAAATTGGTTGTTAAGTCGAGCAACTGAAAATTTTTACAGTTTTAATAGCCCAAATTTTCCCCAATTCAACCACCTTACTGGCCTCTGCTATTTTGAACACAGTGACCTTAAATGTTAAAAATATTTACACAAATTCACATGCATAACCGGCGATTTAGCGCTTGTAGGCCTGCCAGTTTGGCTACGATTACATTGCGTTGTCAAAAAAGGGCTTACTATACTATAAATCGCGGAGTGTCCGGAAACTGTTGAAACTAGGGCTCGGAATCAATCTCGAATAATTCGAGTATTCGAATATTCAAAAAGCGAATAATTATGTGTAGTCATTACTCGAATATTCAAATACTCGAATACTCGAATATTCGAATACTCGATTATTTGAATATTCGTTAGATATTCGAGTATTCGAATAATTTTACTATTCGAATAAACCACTAAACGAATATTCGAATTTCAGATTTAAAAAAATTCCGAGCCCTAGTTGAAACTAAGAAGAAACTATTCATATTGGAATCCGCTCTAAACATGATGTGCCAGTAAAAGAAATACATGGGGTTAAAAGAGTGAGGTTTATCGCAGTTCTTTCTTGTCAAACTCATCTAGAAGCTGCATGTTCAGTTGTGCCTAGGAGTCTTTAAAAATACATAAGTTGGAAAATGCGGCAAGTAGAGGGCTGAAATTTGGTAGGTGGAAAAATATAGGTAAACGAGTGTTTAATTTGAAAGTCTGCTAGTTCGCAATAACTTTGAAGCGTCCGGTGATTTTTTTAAATTTGCGTTTTCGATAGAGCGCCTTTGACTTGATTTGTGACAAAAATTCACAAGTCTCAAACCGCGACAGTTAGAAGGTTAAAATTTGTGGTCTGCCTAAACGAATCCTTAGTGAAAACGTGTACAAAATAGCGCAAATTTAAAACTTTTCGGTGACTTCCGAAAAATGCTCGAACTTCCAACTGCAAGGCGCCTTTTCAATAGAGCGCGATTGTCTTCAAAAAGTCGCTCACTGCGACAAGAAGACGGCAGACATTTTTTTTTCTTTGAGTAAACGGGTCCTTATTGAGACGTTTTTCCGGTGATTTTTGAAAATTTCTGAAAGTTTCAAATAAAAGTCTAGTTTTTATAGAGCGCATTTGACTTCAAAAATTCATGTCTCAAACCGCGGCAGTAAGAAGCTTAAAATTTTGTATTGGTGTAAACGAGTCTTTAGTGAGAAAGATTGCGATATCGCAAAAACTTTTAAAAAATTTTTGAGGATTTTAAAAAAATTCCGCATCTTCATCTAAAAGTCGCGTTTTCACTGGTGCGCGTTTGACTTAAAAAAATTCCTAGTTTCAAACCGCTAGAGTTAGAGGGCTAAAATTTGTTGTTTGCATAAACAAACCTTTAGTGAAAAAGTGTACAAAATCGCAGAAACTCCCAAATTTCCGCCAATTTTTGAAAAATTCAAAAACTTCCAACTCAAATTCGTGTTTTTACATGGCTAAAATTTGTTGACTGGGTAAACAAATATTTGCTTAAAAAGTGTACAAACTTCCCTTGGTGCCTGCATCGCGCAAACCACCTCTGAAGAAGGCCGCCACTCAGGCTGGCGAAACATCAGCAAAAAATGATTTGCCATTTTTTAAAGCCGATACAGTTGGTAAGTTTTTGCATCTTCAATGATGGCATTCACAACATTTGAAACGTTTCACCAGCCGATTAAATGGTTTAACAAAAAGCGCCACAAAGAACCGAAGAATCGACAAAAAAGCCGAAGCACTAAGCTGCAACAAGAGTGAACTAAAAGCCACGAAGAGTAAGCAAATTGACGAAAAAATAACGGAAAAGGAGGGAACAGGAACAGGAGCAAACAAGAACATGGAAAGGCACAGAGTGAATTCAAACAGTCGCGCAATCAACCATTCAATAAGTGATGAAAGTCGAGTGTTCTGAGTTCTGAGTAGTAAAAGATCGCGAACGCGAACAAATGTTGGGCTGAAACGGTTCTATTTGGTTCAGAAAATAAAATTGCAACACCGGAGATAGGAGGAGCTTGCCAATAACCGCCTCCCTACAAGCGAAAATGGGAGAAAACTCCAGTAGGGAAATAACCTTTGAGACCACCAAGTATGAGATGAAGGGACAACATCTAAACCAACTGTTTTTACACAAAAATTGTAGATTCGGCAATGATGGAAGTTATCAGTGAAAATGAGGCAGACACTGAACTCGCTTGTGCATTTTGTGCTCAATTTATTACCATTTATTTCAGCCTCCAGATTGATGCCAAATTTTGTTCAGCTCCATGCTTGCTCGATCATCATTAAAAAATCTTCTAGTTTTCCTTTCTGAGGCACGCGTTTGTTCCTTTTTGCTTTTCGTCAGTTCATCATCTCAGCACGCTTTTCATCGTCATTTCCTTCTTTAGGCTTGCATCAACATCGTTCAGTGCCTGTAGCTTAGGAGTCAAATGATGACTATTCAAATGGCAAAAAAATCAATGGCACATGAGCTCACTGCTCTTCTACCGCTGCAACTAAATGGTAGCTATTTTAAACCACCCTATGGGACACCCTGTACACTTGCGGGTGTTGGCGATTTATAACATAATCGCTGCCGTGAAACGGCTTTTCGTGGTCATAAACTCGAGCAAAGAGCGAGAACAGAAAGGGATTTTCCTTCGGCTGTTCAGCGGCGCTTTGTCTTGCCCAGCCAAGCAGAACGTCACCAGAACGAATTAGACTTTTCAAGCCCTGGGAATCCGAATGACGCTCCACAGGTAATCCAATTATTATCTAATATCGGTGAAGAGACAAGCAAACGGTCATCTAAGGCCATTCGAAACCAGTTCCAAGTGCGTCGGTCATTGGCGTACGCGAATTATCCGTCCGCTTGTCCTTGATCTGGACCCGACCATGACCATGCTGGAGGAATCTCGCCGAAAAGAAAAAACGGGAGCAAGAAAAAACATGCGCACCGTACCGGACATGGGGGGCCGCGCGTATATAAGCATGGGGAACGGGCGGAAAACAGCATAGTGCGCCTTCGAACGGGCGCGAAATACGATCCGCCGCTTTTCAAAGGCTTCGCACGGGCGCGTGAAAATCGCTCAATTTCCCCGGTACCGACAGTGATTTAATTAGCCGGCCAATCGCTCAATAATTGACTAGACAACATGGCAGTGCACATGCCGAGAAACTACCCCAAGCGGCCGCCCATCGAGCGGTTCAAATTCACCCGATATGAGGTAACTGAACACACCCCCAATTTCTTCCCTAAATTTACCAACAAAAATTAGTATCTAGAGGGGAAACTAAGAACACTCCAAACAGTTGCACTATTGAGCTGGAAAACCCCCGAGCAGTGAGGTTGGTTTCCCCAAGTTCTCAAAAATAAAACCCTGATTTTCTCTACTACTTTGACTATTCGGCCAATCAGAAGCTTTAAAGTGCGTCTTTAATCTAGAAGCTGCATGTTCAGTGGTGCCTAGGAGTCTTTAAAAATACATAAGTTGGAAAATGCGGCAAGTAGAGGGCTGAAATTTGGTAGGTGGAAAAATGTATGTAAACGAGTCTTTAATTTGAAAGTCTGCTAGTTCGCAATAACTTTGAAGCGTCCGGTGATTTTTTTAAATTTGCGTTTTCAATAGAGCGCCTTTAACTTGATTCGTGACAAAAATTCACAAGWCTCAAACCGCGACAGTTAGAAGGTTAAAATTTGTGGTCTGCCTAAACGAATCCTTAGTGAAAACGTGTACAAAATAGCGCAAATTTACAACTTTTCGGTGACTTCCGAAAAATGCTCGAACTTCCAACTGCAAGGCGCGTTTTCAATAGAGCGCGATTGTCTTCAAAAAGTCGCTCACTGCGACAGGAAGACGGCAGACATTTTTTTTTCTTTGAGTAAACGGGTCCCTATTGAGCCGGTTTTCCGGTGATTTTTGAAAATTTCTGAAAGTTTCAAATAAAAGTCTAGTTTTTATAGAGCGCATTTGACTTCAAAAATTCATGTCTCAAACCGCGGCAGTAAGAAGCTTAAAATTTTGTATTGGTGTAAACGAGTCTTTAGTGAGAAAGATTGCGATTTCGTAAAAACTTTTAAAAATTTTTGAGGATTTTAAAAAAATTCCCCATCTTCATCTAAAAGTGTACAAAATCGCTTAAAAAAGCTTTAAAGTGCGTCTTTAATCAAGGCACATTATGCGAAATTGGCGCCTTCTCAATCGAGAAATTGGCGTTGTAGAAAGCTTAGATAATGTAAAACAACAAATAATTAAAATTCGCCCATATGTTTGGCAATCGGCCAATCGTAATTATTGGTCTCAAGAGTGGTTTGTTTTCTTTCAATCTCCGATGGGATTCACACGGGTTTCCACTTAACCGTTGCGAATAAACAGCCATTTGCCACTTGAAAATATACTGGGTGATTGAACATATCGCATACGAAAACGCTTCTAAACCGCCTAACGCACAATCGAAAGCATGGAATTTCCTATTAACTCTTATGTTACATTGAGAATTTGATCAGAAGAAGGAAACAATAGTTTAATTTGGGCGGTGAAAATAACGCAGGAAAACGCAACTGTGTCCAGCGAATTACACTCAAATGCTTTAGTGAAAATCCTATCGCATGCGTGAACTGGTCTAAATCGCCTACCGCAAGGGCAAACGCATCGAATTTCATACTATCGCACATGGTTTTTCCAGAATTAGATCGGAAATATGCAAAAAAAACTGCAAAAATCGTACAGTCGATTTGTCAAAAGCGGTTTGTCCAAGCACTTCAGACCAATGAAAAGTTTTAGTCGCCATTGACTGAGGAACAAACGAAGTTGTTCGAAACGTCGTTGTACACCGACGTGTTTAAATATCAGCCAAAAGCCAAATTATTTGCTAATGCCTCCAAAAAAGCTGGGGAACATGGCAATTTCACCGCAGATTTTGATAGGCCACGGTTTTCTACGCAGAAAAGATCGTCTTAGTCACTTGCTATGAAAAATGGCACTTTATGATGATGAAAAACACGATTTCAGGATTGGACCAGTTTGGATGCAATTTTCCTTTTTAACCCCTGCTATTAGCACCTTTTGTGTGAAGAAATCAACGCCCTCTCAAGCGGTGTCTGTAATTTCCGATTACCAGTGGCGTAACAGCTGAGGCAACCACCCCAAATAATTCCACAAATATATTCTTCGTGCAACAGCTTGGGAACGTTTTGCATTCCCACCCTGTATGATGACACCAGTTATTTTTTTGGAGGAATATTGTCGCCGTCCGAGCACATTTCCGGAGCACAAAACACCATTAACATCAGCAAATTGTGTTAAAAAATTGAAATGTTGGGAAATTAACACGCATTCGCTCACTGCGGTCAACAGCTAATGGCTACCACATTATCGACCGCACTATATTTATTGTTTTTGTCGCTAAACCTTTCGGTTACCGGCTACTTATCTTCCCATTATTATCACCTTAGTGCATGCTAATTGCATCTAGTTGGCCAGTGCCTCAATACAACTGTCACTGTCACTCTGTGCTCTAACAACCTCAAAACTGTCACTGTCAAACTTTTAGGCGCAATATTGGGTTTAAATTTCGTAAAAATAACCGATTTTTTTTTAATTGCAGTCGATTGATACGGGCGCAATGACCCCACCAATCACCCCAACGACCCCCGTGAGTCCTAAGGAGTACGACATTGTGTTGGCAGGTGAAAAGGATCGCGAGGACGTTTTGAATTTTCTGCGACAGTTCTTCTTCAAAGATGAGCCGCTCAACAAATTTTTAGGTATAAAAGCGCCATAAAACAGGGCCGTTGAAAATGTGCCACGACCCTAACACGTCCGGTATATTGGGGTTAGCTAGCTGACGTGCTTGATGTGACAATTGACACGTGGCTAATGAACCGTTACAGGGCTTATCAGTGAGCAGACGCCCAGATGTTTCGATTTGGAGGCGTTTGCCACAAAGGAGCTGGACAACGAACTCAACCTCAAAGCGGTTCATAATGGGAAAACTATTGGAATTTGTCTCAACGGGCTAATAAAGCGAGGTAAATATTAACATTGCTATTTGGTCATTATTTGTCAGTAACAGACGTGAAAATGACGGGTGAGTCACGAACCGATTACGCCATTTTAGTCAGTTTAATGACGTCTATATTCTCGACATTTTTACGTCACAATCATGTTTCAATTATTCACGTCATAATGATCTGTAGTGCTTTTTATCATCAAATGCAATTTTTCTCCAAAACCGCTGACATTAGAGCTGCTGGAAAAGCGCACCGCGTGATTTCAAGTGGGCATTTGTCCCAGAGCCGTAGAAGTTAGGGAAAGAATGTTCAAAAAAGTTCAATTGGATTTTTCGAGCTTTCAGGACGTCGTGTAAAAAAATCCAGGCGTTTCGCAAGCACGAGTGACTTGCATCTTCAAAGGTGGTTTGCTCAAAGAACAACCACATCTGAAGAAGATAAGAAATTCTATTCCACGGCGGCCTAAAGGTTCGAAACGAGTGAGATGCAAAACGTCAAGAAAAAATCCTTTTCCACAACGGCTTTAAAACGCGAAAAATTATTTTAATCCTTAAAGGCTTCAGCTGTCATTTTCTACTGCTTCGATTGACCAACTTTTCGTCACTTTTTTGACTAATAGTTGAAATAATTTGCGTAATCAAACATTAGTGCATAACCGGCGATTTAGCGCTTGTAGGCCTGCCAGTTTGACGACGATCACATGGCGTTGTCAAAAAAAGCACCTACTATACTATAAATCGCGGGCTAATCCGGAAAATTTCAACACCAGCATTTGGAATTCGAAGTGAATTTGCTACAGAGGTGCAACTAAAAAGGCCTCCTTGCAAATAAGGAATGAAAAAAGTGAGACTTATGTGTGTCAGTGGAACTGATGAGTTTGTCGGACTTTCAAACCAAAGCAACTCCACACTTTTGATACTGCCAGCAACTCGCTATTCAACATCGCAAAAAACCCAAAGAAAACAATCAGATTTTTGTGATATTTCACAGGATACCTGGACAAAGGGGACGATGGACTAAAAATCACCGATCAGAAATTTTCGAAAATTGTCAGGCTGCTGGACCGAGTGGCTGCCGAATCGGACGTTTTTTCCAGATTTCCCGACTGCGACAAGGCGATGACAGTGAAAATTCTATCGGTGGATGGCGCTTACCGTGGCCAGGGCATTGCCAAAGAGCTGATGAACAAAACCAGGTAAATTAGGCAGACGAACGACTCCCATGTGAGTACAAAGGAGGACTTTTAGCCCCCGATTTCAAGTGCCGGAAAACCATTGGCGGATGCAAAGCAAAACTTTTCGGGAGATGAATAATATATGCAGCAGCAATCAAGAATTTATTCATGGGTCTTCACCAATTATCACGGTCTTCCTCTATGACGCTCCCATTGCCCATTCCAAGGTCCACTTTTAATGAGATTCTAATTATGCAAACGCTCATAATGATGCCTTGATTGATTAATTATTTTATTTCCTACATAATTCGATGTCTTTAATTGACGAGTGGCGTTGCTTTCTAAGTTTCACAGTCTTTCTGCACTTCGGTTCCATTTCCGGGCGTGTCACGTCTCTGATGAAACTTTGCCATTCCTTTTATTCCAGACAAGTTCCACGCGCTCCAAACGGAAATAAAGCCAAGCGAAGAGACTATTGCCGTCCAACCTTGAACTATTAAAATTCAATTTTCGCTTAACAGCCACGGAAACGGGTCTTTGTTGTTCGGGACTTCAGTTGCTTCCACTCGGGATCAGGCAATCAAAGCGAAACCACAAGCAATTATGGAATGCGATCTGAATTTATTTCTCTAGCTCTTGACTACCACTTTCTCTGATCAGCCCAACTGGCGCTCTTAATTTTCCGATTTCCGCGCATATGTTATTGCAAGTGCGAAATTCCCTAACCGAATTGGATTGGGGCCAACTAAGCCAGCTATAATTCATACGGTTTATGACATCGATTTTACATTCCAAAGGCTCCAGATCAGCCTTTCAGCTTTCTCGCTATCCAGATAGCATCCAACGGAGCAATCACGTGAAAAAAACGTCCATTAGAGAAATGCAGGGTGTACCAAAAATGCGTTTTCTTGAAACCGTTGAAACATTGGAATTTTTAAAAATTTTGTTGAATCCGTGGCGTTTTTGTGAATTTTTCCGCTAACCCTCGAAAGTCCAATAGACCCATATTGGCTTCTTAATTGATTTAATGTGTTTTATGTCGATTTAGAGAGTTGGCGAAGGAGTTGGGAGCGGGATTTATGACCGTCGAATGTACCAGCCATTTCACAGCGTTGGCGCTCCAAAAGTTAGGTTTCGAACTGCATTACGCGCTCAAGTATGCTGATCACAAGGAAAATGGAAATACAGTTTTCCAGCCCGAACCACCGCACGAGGCCTGCACTGTCTACGTGCAGAAAATTTAATTTCCTAGACTGGCAAAGGAAAAAACGAACTTGTACCTGATTTAATACGTTTCTCTTGAACAAGTTACGACCGTTTCAACTTTGCTTCGAACTATTTATTATATGGATGTTGTTGTTCTATACGCATTATGTAACCATGAATGTGATAATACTAATAAGTGTGTGGCCAATTCACGTAACCAGGCTTGGGAAAATTCGATTGAGTAACGAATTGCTTTGCTCAAAATTGCTCAGTTATGTCTGGACGGCGATTTTATAATGTTTTATACGTACGCGGCTCATACCCCGGCCTATTCGGAAGTTAGTTCATATTTTCTTATAGAAATATATGCATGCATAGGCATTGTTGTAATAAACATTTGTGGTATTCATTCAGTGTTTTATTTCCATTTAACAAAAAAAATCAAGCAAAAATATGTACAGGTGGAACCTGGATCTAATTTCCAGTGGTTCTCAATCGCTCCATCTCTTCATATTGCTTTTGATAAATCTCCAGCTGAGCCTCCAGCCCGTTGGCTTTCGCCCTTTCCTCCACCTCATTCAGGATCTTTTGAATATCGGCGGTTCTTTTCTGCGCGAACTCCTGTTGCCTCAACAACATAAACCTGCCATCAAAGAACAAATCATCCCATCAGAAATCCTTGTTGAAACCAACTGGGGCACCTTACGACGAGAATTTCGACGGTAAAAGCCATTGCGACTGCTGCCACAACACACATAGCCACAAAACCGCTTTTAGGTCGCGGCATATCGCTCTTATATTCTTGGTAGGTTTTGCGGTTGCGGTAAAAAGACCAGGGGCTGTAAAGCAACACATTTTCACTGGGCACTTTTCCAGCCTGCCGCCTGCCAACTTACTTTCTATAAACGGGGCCGTACCGCCATTGACGGCCACTTTCATAGCGGTACCCTGGGTGTGCCAATTCCAAGTCATAACTGGCCCTCAAATGGGGCTTGCTTAAGACATTGTAAGCTTCCTGAACCTTCAGGAAGTTTGTATGAGCGTTGGGGCTTTTGTTGAGGTCCGGATGGATCTACATAAACAAACTAGATGTGAAATCCCAAAAGCATATGAGCGTTTTCAAAAATCTGTTTGACCTTCTTCGAGAGTCGGATGAACGAATCTCTGATCTGCTGCGAGGTACAATTGCGCTGCAGTTTCAATGTATCGTAGTGATTTGCGAAATTGTTGCTGCAAATAAACAGGTTTGTTTATGTTGAAGGGCTGGCTGACCGTTACTCCACTACCTGCTGCTATGAAACAGTTTCGATGCCTTCAAGTAGGCCTTTTTTATTGCTAGAGCACTGAAATTTTGATTCATTCCTAAATGGGGTAAAATCACTCAAAAAATTAGTGAATTTAAAAAAAACTTCAAATTTTATGACATAACGCGACATAACCCATGGGGGGCTCACTCATATTGCCATGCGCGTACCCATGTTTCTGGGAGCGCAGACCCGCCATCTGTGACCATTTGTTCCAAGATAAATTGAATGAAGAGACAATTTTACAGTTTCCACTTAAGCGCATAAAAGAGACAAT